AACGCTGTATCATCTTGTGTTAAATAACATCTGATTGTATCAGCAGTGGCTATCACAGTAATCTAAAGCAGTATCTCAAAAAAGCAATTCTGAGGAATTCCTGTAAAGTCAGCAAGGTAGGCATATACAGCCATAGCACTTAATCAATTTTATGCAAAATACTCTAAAAAATTGAAATAGAAAAATTTTAAAGCTGATCATTTTAAAAATTAAGTTTAATCAGATGCTTAACAAAGTTTCCTAATCTTAATCTGATTTCAAAGAAATCACTTCCTTCACTCTTTGATTTATTAGAAGAAACATTGAGAGAAGTAATTTTCTTAAGTGAAAATGGAGATTCTAAAAGTAATTAAAGTATTTTTGTTTGTTTCTAAATTGTTTTTAAGAACCAGGTGTTGGTTTTACTCATATACTAACTACACTATAGCTGCCTTGGTCACTGTTTTCATTGCTGGGACAAGATATCCAACACCTGCATGTTAAAGGAGGAATGGCATATTTTAGCTCACATTTTGTACAGTTTTCAGACCATAGCTTCCTCATTCCAAAGCAGGGAGGCATGGCAGAAGAGCATGACAGAGGAGGGTCGTTCATGGCATAACAGACAGGAAGCAAAGGCAGATTATAGGAGGAGAAAGATATACCTCACAGGGCACATGTCCAGTGACATGTCCAACACATGTTCAACAGGCTTCCCATTAGGCTTCACCTCCCAACATTATATGTAGCTATAAACATTGTTATAATCCACTGAAGAGTATCACACCCCCATGATCCAATCACCTCCCCAAATCCCTACCTATGAGTACATGAGGTTTTGTAGGGATGTACTGATATAAACAACAACAGTAGCTAATTTCTACAGATGAACCCAACCCAACTTCATACTTTCCAATATCATCCCCCAATCTATTGCCTTGTGTTTGGGCTACTGACTCAACTAATTCTCTCTCTTTCTCTCTCTCTCTCGATTTTAAAGGTCAAGACACAGGATGCCATGCATCTTCTGCCTATATACCAAGTTGGAGAGAATTTAACTATTAATATGTAATAGTTCTTACTACTCTAAATCTAAAAAATTGTGAGAAAGGTTCAATTTCTCACAATCAGAGCAGCTATTTGGAGAGACAGAGGCCTGCCCAGCCCCTAGCTTTTCCAATTATCCAGCTCTGCTCCAGACATTTGAGTAAAGAAGTCAGACTGGATGTTCAGTGGAGAAAAAGTTTCAAATAAGCATAGTCCACACACAGCTGTGTCATCCCATGAGAATTCCCTGATGAAACCAGAGACTAGTCAATCCCTGGGACTAAACAAGATAAAAAAATGTTGTTTAAACCTTCAAGTTTTGGATTGTTTATAATACAAAAATAGATAACTAGAATACCTTAATACTAAATTTGATAAAGATAATAGTATTTTAGCAAACACGTTTTGCTAACAGAAGTAATGATTGGAAATGAATATCTTCCCATTTATGAAAACACTGTTGTTTTCTTGTTAATGAAATATAGATGGAATGCACACTTGTATGCTGAGGGATGAAGAAACACATACAATTAAATGTTGAGTTTAGTGGTATTGTCATATAGTAAGAAATATTACTTTTAGTCCCTACAACAAAGCCCCTAAAATCCCTACAAATAGTTAATTCTAATATTTAGTCTCTGACTTAGGTTCTTGACATAGAGCATCTAACATTTTTGCAATTTCCTAATGATAGGAGTGTCTCACACAGAACTTCTAAATCTTTTGAAATTTCTTAAATAACTTAAGTGTCTTTTGCTCTAACAAGATGACACTTGATAAGCCCCTTTTGAGCCTTAAGATGGGGGCTGGTTGTCAGGCCAACCATGTGGTTGGAGGGTTGGAACTCTTAATTTCGTCTACCTACCTCCTTCAAGGGGATGTTTGAGTCTATCATAAATGATGTAATCAATCATGACTGCACAATTACGCCTTCATAAAATCTCCAATGACACAATTTGGAGATCTTTTGGGTGGGTCAGCATGTGCAGGTACCTGGAGGGTGGCTCACTATGACAAGGTGTGGAAGAGATACAACCTCTGCCTGTGCATTACTTCCATCTGGATGTTCATCTGTATCCTTTACCATACACCTGTGAGGTACACAGTATTCCAAGTTCCATGATTGGCTCTATCAAATAAGTCAAACTTATTGAGTATACTAGGAACTACTGACTTATAGCTGATTCACCAGAAGTACAATTTCCAACCTAGGACTTGGAACTGACATCTGAAGTAAGGGGTAGTCTTTTGGAACTGAGTACTGCATCGGTGTAATTTGACTTTAATTCCAGGTAGATTGTGTCAGAAATAAACTGAACTGTGCAACATTCAGTTAGAGCTTGATGTAGAATTCCTGGAGAACAATTCGTGTACATTTTGATGACTAGAAGTGAAATATTCTGTGTTGAGTGGTAAGTGTAAGAGTATCAAAAACAATTTTTCCACGAATTACTAAATGAAAAATCAACAAAAATAACAGGACTCCAATTTTTCACTGTTATTCTGCCAGAAAAAGAAGCATATTTTCATGCTGTCCTTTTATTCTATTTGAAAATGTATAAGAGGATATTTAATTTACTGCTGGGAGATACAATTACATAAGCATACCTCAGTATCAAAAATGAGCAGAAGCCCGTTGGCATTCACTGTTTCAGAAAACCACAGGTAACTATGGTAGCAAAATATTAAATTACACATTTTATTATGGAGGTATTGCACTCATATTCTTAAAAGAAAAATTTTCTGCTGAGAAGAAAATTTCAATGTAAAATGACAAGAGATAACAAATAATTAAAAGCACATGATATGTTATATTTTTCCTGATAGAGTATAAGTTTGCATAAAGATCTAGGGAAGCTGAAAAAAATGAAATATATATGACAGACTAAGTTATAAGGTAAAATTTTCTTGAATTTAATTTTTAAATAGTTTAAAGAAAGATAATTTTCACACTTAAATGTAGCACATATAAATCCCTAAGGTATGAAAAATTTTGTTGAGAATATTATTTAACTCTGCACAATTACTTAAAAATCTTTCAGACTGTTTTTTAGATTTATGGCATCTGCTAACATATTTAATATTGAAAAAGGTTTACTGAATTAAACTAACACACATTTCAAATTTCAATGAATATTTCAATAGGTAGTAAATATTTTCTAACAATTTTGGCTGCTGGGTTGAAAAAATTCTGAATTTGAAATCAAATAAAATGTGTTGATTTTGACATTTTAAAAAACTAATTTGTCTGCTTCTAATATAACAGATGATGTGGACATAATTCTTTTTCAGAAAAGAAAGCTTTACAAATATAATTTTGAAGAATATGCTCAGAATATTTAGCTTTAATGTAATCAGAAAATACCACTGTTGAAATGACAAGTAGTACTCCATTTCTTCATAAAGACTAGAATTAACTTCAGAACCAGATTGTCCTTGAAGAAAACAAAGATTTATTGTTGCAACTAATACTCTGGATTAACCACACTTAAAACTCTGTAGCTTTCAAAACAGCCCAAATACCACAGCAAGCCAAACCAAACCAAACTGAACAAGAAATAATTCACAATGATGGAAAAGAAAAATACACAAAACAGAAACCAGCTCTAGTTGTGAATCCTTGGGCTGATACTAATGTGTTTCTGCTTAGCTCAGCAAACTGTAAACTTTTGGAGAGCTATTTTTTTCTTGTAACTACTACGTATAGAAATTAAGTAAAGTCATTTTCAAAATTTGTTCTGAGTTGTTTGAGAAGAAATGTTTTCTGTTAAAGATGCAGGATGCAAAATCAAGTCATTACTAAGTATCCTTAAATATGTTTTTAAGAGTTTTTATATTTAGTCATCCTGAAAATATCCCCTCACATAGTGTTTGACTCTGGGTTCTCTTGTCTGCTACTATGAATGCTTTGGGCCCCTAAGAATCCATCTCTATGCATCTAATGATTTCAGTGAGATATCCTTGCAATAATAAAAAAGATGTAAGGTAGAGGCATGTCCTTAAAGAATCTTTATATATCTGCTTGATATTCTTGACTCACTACAAATGGGAGGACCATGTATTATACTGCAGTGTGAAGCACAAATCTAAGCCAGTCTCTACTGGACTGGAAGGACAAAAAGCCTATTTAAGTGTTGTTGTCAGCTGTTTCATGTAGACATAACCTTCTCAATCATTACAGTTCTTACAGAGCTGTGTAATGTCATTGTGAAGGACTGGATAACATAAGTGTTTACTAAGATTCAACTCAGCAAAGGCAAAAACACAATCATCTTAAAACACTAAAATATATCGCAAATCACCACTCAAAGCCTTATCTGAAGTAGTCCATTAGAGAGTCTCTTCTAGTCATTATTGGAAAGGTGCTTAACACCAAACAATACCGTTTAGAACTTTGTCCCCAATAAAAGAAGTCAAAACAGTTTTGAACCCCCAGACTGCTATGATGGTACTCCATATACTTGGACGTTGTAGAACTGGCCAAAGGAATGCGAATTCTTTACTGCCTCCCAAGTTTGTATGAGTGCACACTCACTGCTTAAGACTCTGATGTGTATCTGGAAACAAATGTTACCAACTTCAGAAAAATTTTGCAAAAATAGTTGAAATAGTTGCAAAAATAGAAAAATAGTTGAAAGACGACTATAAAGATTGTTATGAGGCGCCAGGGCTCAGTGGTTCCCCTGCCTGCCTTGCAAGCCCAAAGACCCGAGTTCGATCCCCAGTACAAACAAACAAACAAAAAAAGGCATTAAAATATAGCATTAAAAAAAAGATTGTTATGAAACTGCTTGCTTTTCCATAAAAATGCCAAGAAATTTAGCTTGAATATACGACAATTTTTGAAACCACATTATTCTTTATGTACCACATTATCTTCTCCACAACTTCTAGCATCTTGTGGATAATCAGTGTTCTAACACTACGTTAAATGGAAATGCTAGTGCAAACCAACAGAAATTTGATCTTCTTACCACATTCTCTTACAGTGATGACCATCATGCAGTGCGCTTTGCCCTTTGGGGAAATTGAACACAGTATTCTCTGGGTCAGAGTGAAGAAAATTCTCATTCTCTTCTGAAACAAACAAAACCAAGTTCCTTCAGAGAAACATGGAGTGATTTGTAGTAATTTCCAAAACTCACAAATGTGCCACAGTAAAGTCTGTCAATGTCTGTCATTAGAACAGAAAAATAATCTAATCATGCTGTGGGTTTTTTTGAAGATGCATTTATTCTTTGTTCATGAGAGGACACTAATTGTATCATAGAATTATAACATCTGTTTTAACATTACCACTTTTGAAATTACTTAAGTAATTAAGTCTTTGATTGGAATATTCTTTACTTTTCTAAAAATTACATTAAGTCAATGTCTTCAAACTCTCTTCACTAGCTAGGACAACGGGTAAGGACATAGGCTTTGACAGACAATCATGTTACAAGTCTCCCTTCTTTCATTTCCAGCTGTGTGCCTTGAATAACTGCTAAACTTTGTGATTCAGTTTTGTCATTTGTAAAAATAAGAATTAAAAAGTCTAATTACTTTGCATCTAGCAAGAACACTGCATATCATAGCTAGGATTATTAGGTAATCAAAGGAAACCATGATGATGAGCAGCCCCCACTGTCACTCTGATTTTTAATCATTAATTATTTAAAAGTTAATGACTTTTGGCTGCAATTATTAAAACTATCAGCAGTAGGTTCTCAGAAAAACACTATCATTACAGATTACTTAAAATTTAGATATATAATTAAGATGATAGTCTATCTCTACATAAGAGAACTGTGTATTACAAACTATAATATTGAGTAGTGGTTTGACTCCAAATCCTGTGATTAATTTTCAAATCCTAATTTGATTGATAGCTAAAGAATTCTTTCAATTTAGCACAATATTTACCACTGCACAGATGCTCAAACGTTGGCTGAACACTAAGCAGAAAGAAGGAAAGAAGGAAAACTTTAAATTTTGCTGTTATATTTTTAGATGAACAAAAAACTGACATTGGAGGAGAAAATATATGTATTCTAGTTTTCTGTGACTCATCAATTTGGGGAAGGACATAAAAATAACTGTTTTAGATAGAAAATCATATTTGCTTTGAAATCAGAACCATTTTAAGTCCAAGTTTATCTTCTGGTATTTAAAAGCATAATCCACTTAAGAGAACCATCAAATCATTTACTTGTAAATAGTTATGATAATAATACATGTTAAGGGTAATTGTACAGATTAAATGAGATAATGATTTTAAAGTGCAAACAACTGTGATAGGAATAAAAAGACACAAAGAATAACTGGCCTTTGTTTTTAAAGGTTATAGACAACTTGGGCAGACAAATTATACCTAAGTAGGTAGCATGGTGATGCATGCTTATAGTCCAGTAACGCAGGAGGCTAAGACAAAGAACTAGAGGCCATCCCGGGCTACACAGAATTTCAAGCAAGCATGGATTAGAGCATGACCCTGTCTCAAAACACAAACAAATAAGCAACCAAATCAAGCAATAACCCCTACGTTTTATAATAGCAACAAAAAAAACAAGTTTATACTGCTGATTAAAGTTAACCTTAAAACATCTCAATGTAATTTTTACTTTTTCTCTGTATAGTGTTTCATGGATCAAAATCCATTTCACACTGTGCCAACAACACAGAGAGTCTACTAAAAAGCAAATGCATGCTTCTGCATATCTATATTCCAAAGAATTTTGTAATAAGTGAGAAGATGTGTTTATTATTTTATGTCATCTTTTTCTGAAATTCTGAGTCAAAATATAGTTTTATATAAAACAGGAGTTGAAATCCATGATTATTCAGAGGTTTTCCATTCTGGCATTTGTTATGTTTTCATATCCAGAGATACCATCATTTTACTCTTTGTGGCAAGTAGATGTAGAAGCTCGTATTACATTTGAATAATTTTTAGTTGGCAACATTTAAAACTGAAAAAAGGAATATACATTTCTGTGAAAGAAAGACAAATATAAAAATTTTAAAATATAATAATAAATTCTGACCAGCAAAGTATGGTTGTGACTTTATTAGCCACCTTGCTAAATCATTTTCAAAGAATTTACTTAACTAAGACAAAGCTCACGAATTCAGCACTTTTAATCCTTTTTCTATTTTAAATCATTCAAAATCATTTTATATACTTATATATTTTATGCAAAAGTTAATTCTCAACATACACAGTAAACTTAGTTCACAGCATGAAACTGATCTTTTGAGAGTTTTTCTTTGTTACTATCTTTCAAGAAAAGGCTATGGTGCTGTTGCCTTCCACTTTCGATTTAAAGCCACACACCAAGTTAGCCCATCTATAAGACAGGCTCACACTTCATCCCTTTTCCAATGATGATAGAGGTTCATCTGTGACTATAGGCATAATAAATAGGACACACGTGTAAATACTGAATCGTTTCTCCAGTGTGAGAAACTGAAAGTGTAAAGAAGGAGTAAAAGATATAATAGATAATGTGAAATACAAAGAAAAGGGACAAAGGGAAAAAGGGAAATGGGAGGGGTAGGAAAAAGGAAAGAAGAGAATGGATTTAATATGAAAAAATGAAAAATAATGGAAACAAAGTCTTTGTACATAGAGAGGGAGGGAAGGGTTGAAGAGAGGACAGGGGAATGGGGAAAAAATAAGAACCAAGCTTGATTTTGTAAAGGTACAAATTTTCAACAATGAATGTCATTATATTGTATACATTAAATGTACCAATAAAATTAATCTTAAAAAAAGACTATAGGAATGAACTAAAGGAGAAGCAGTGTCACAGGATAGGGTGTGCCACATGGATACAGTCTTCCTGTTCAGGCCACTTACCTGTGCACTCTGGTCCTATTCATGTTTAATAATGACTGTTCTTTTTCCATCTCTTATTGGATTATTGTTGAGTCTTCTTAATTACATCCTGGTGGTCTGACTGGCCCTGATCCATTGAAAGCTGCTCTAGATTCATGGTTAACTGGCAGACATTCCTTTACTACCAGGGCCCACTTGCATGCCAGGAACTATTTTTATAAAGGTATCTAATTATACCTTTATAAAAGATGTCATGGGCTTGCTCCAGAATCAAAATGGCTATTGTAATTTTCTCACTAGCAACATCCAGAAATTCCATATGGGTATCTTTTCCTACCACTGGTATCTCCAAAACTAAAGGGTCTACTATATGTTTCGGCCTAAACCACAATACTGATTGTTCTGCAGTCTGAATATGCTGAAAAGATAAATTTCTGTTCAGGATTTCATGCAAACCTAGCAGCTTTGACATTATCCAGCGAATGGGCTGGAACAGCAGGTATGAAATATACTTCCTCCACAACCCAGAGGATTAGAACATTTCCTTCTTCCTGGATGGAAGTGCAAGATTTAATAATTTTTTCTTTACCTTTGGATAAAATAGCCCACAATGTTCCTGACCTTCTGACTGTTAATGCTTTTACTAATGTAAATGACTCAAAATCTACATAGGATTTGCCTCTTGCCTTCTGCAGCACATATGAGCCACCGATGTTTCCATTGCATTCATTAGCTTCTTCATTATCAGGCCTACTTAGCATAATGTTATCAATGAAGTACATCATTTTGATCATCTTGAAAGGCCAGCTGATCCACATCTCTTTGGTCTACATTTTAGAAGGTAGCCCTGAGACTAAACCGTGGTTGTATACTGTTTTCCTTATAAACTTTCTCTGATATTTTATTTTGAATAAGATATTAAAGAAAGTATTCACGGGCCGGGGATTTAGCTCAGTGGTTCTGCTGCCTGCCTCACAAGTGGAAGGACCTGGGTTCAATTTCCCGGTACCAAAAAAATGAAAGAAAGGAAGAAAGAAAGAAAAAGAAAGAAAGAAAGAAAGAAAGAATTCACAAGTCAATAATCATGCATTATGTGCCTTAGATAATATTCATGCTCTTTAGAACAGAGGTGTCATCTGGCTTTTAAGACTGTCTTTGAGGCTATTCCTTGTTTGATGAGTTTGCAGTAGTCCACAGCTACTCTAAGATTTTTCATATTTTTGCAGGGTGTTGATGAATTTAAAAAGATGTTATGAGATCTGCCATCCCTGAATATTATATTTTAAGGGTATTAACTTTTCCTATCAACTCTAAAATGTTATATTGTTTTAGATTTATATTTTAGAAAGATTGTTGGTAGTTTCATAGACTCTTGCCTAATCATCCACTGTGTATTCAATATAAGATTTGTACCAGCTGCCAAGAGTGTCATTTTCAATTATTCACTGACAGGGGAAATGACCACTGGAATCTGTGGACACAGCAGGCATACTATAAATCAGACCTCAGCTAGGACTTCACATTTTATCCGGTGCCCTCCTGTCTCAAATCTAAATAAGGAAACCGTGATGATTTTTAGGTCTCTTGGTATTAATGTCAGTTCAGATATTTGAAAAAATCAGATGCTTCTCTTTTCCCAGTGTCCAGTGATTATGCAGCACTATTATTGTCTGTCCATTAATATTTCCGAGGGATGGAGATGGTTAATAAGATACACCTGATGTATTCTATTCGTGGCCATGGATATGGCAAGGTCATTGACATGCAGGCTATTTCCATCCCTCTCCATAAGTCCAATTCCATTGGTTTCTACTTTGACCTTTCTTGTCATCTTTAGTCATTATTATTAATGTGATCCTTGTCTTTTGGCATTTAAACAATGCTACTTGATCTCTTTTGCTTTGAGGTCCCACCATTTCTACTTTTATCAGCATATTCATTTCCATAATACCATTTGCAACAATCAACCCTGATCTTCCACCAATCAGATAACAACTGTGTTCAGCTATAGGGACCACTTATAGTCTTAATAAATGATATGTCCAATAATAATTCCGGTGCAAAATATTATTTAATAATTTTTGCATTTGAACATTATATAGTGTACATATCTCCCTGAATCTTTAATATTTCCTCTATCATATACCATGATAACTGTGTAAATCAGCTTTCTTCAATCTGGACAGTCACATTTTGCATACTTTTATGATCTGTTTTTAAGTTTAAAAAAAATCTTTATTTTTTAAAAGTTAGCATG